TCAAAACTCAATGAAACATGTTTCAAGAGAAATAAGAGTCAAAATCTATATGAAGTTCATAAAATGATGAAAAGTAACTCACCTTTTCGAATGAAACAACGACGACTTTCTTATCCTCGAGCACCCAAGCTGAGGATTCAGTTTTGATCTGCAAAAAAGACTACGATATGTTTCAAGTCATATGGCATTACACTGGAAGGTGGTCAAGTAGTGCAGTTTTTCTGGCTACCATATATACATGCTAATAATACAATAAAAGGTTATTTTCATGAGCTTGAAGTGACTTCACGCTCCACTCGATATACACTCCACTAGATTTACAGTATTTAGTACCTACGGCTTCCGGTTGGTAAAGCATTTCCAGCCTGCTTATAATCAAAGAAGAAGAAATGTAACTAACCTCATTGAACAGAGGTCCATCAATGATGGGAGAATGACCCTTCAGACCCACACGCAAATGAGACTTTTCTACGCTAACATCAACATCCCTTGATTTGAGAGGGAATCCAACTTTGAATGGAATTCGCACCTAAATGATCGTATTTGTCCATATAGATAAAGTTGATCAAAAAAAACAAGATAAACCTCGATTTCTTGCAACGTTTGAGTCCATTGGTAGTGCTCCAAATCTGCACCATTACCACTATTAGGGCGGAGTTTATTTTTGTCCTCTTCATCCTCGTCTTCTGTGGGCTTATCTTCGTCGGTATTTTTTGTTTCTGTTTTCTCTGGTTCAGATACGACATGCTTCTCGCCGCTAAAAAAAAACGATGAAAGTTGTAATCGAGAAGAACTAAGGACAATCTCACTGTTTCTTTTCAAACTCGGCTGCTTCGGCATCAGAAATTTCTTCAATCTTGCTACCACCGCTTGCTTGAGCCTAAAAAGAATATTTTGAATGGAGCGAGAATATAATGACAACTGATAACTCTTAAGTAGCACAAGGATTCCATTTCAAGATAAATTCAGTTAACAACAAGCCCATAAAAATCCCTTTTACTTTCACAATCTTCTACTAAGTTTACAAGCGTGAGCATGTTGAAGCAGCATTTTGTCGTGAACATGGTGCAATGCACACTATGCACTAAATCTAGGAAACACTGCCGACAATCACATGGCACGAAGAAAGCAGTCAACTTGGCAATCCTGTGTTTCAAAGATAGTAACATGGAAGATCAACGCACCTTAAACTCTTCTTCCTCCTTTGCCTTCTGAGCAGCTCGTTTTGCAGCTAATTTACGCTCTTGCTCTTCTTTCAATCTTTTGATTTCGGCAGCTTTCTGAAGGAGAAAAGACGTCCAAAAAATATCAAGCGAAGTGTGACCGGAAAATGCTTTAAATTTTCAAAAAATCATCACATACTTCAATAGCCTCCTTTCCGTGCTTCTCGAAATACTTTAAAAGTAGACTTCGAGCTTCATCAACACCAGCACCGGAATAGAAGTCGGTTTTCCTTAAAAAGAGAACATTGTGGCTGTTGGATCATCATATAAGGCTGCTTACCTGGCAAGGAAGCCAAAGAGGACATCAAGAAGGTCCGGAACACCGCCTGGCATCTGCTGCGCCATTGAGAATAGTATGGGATCAAACTTTTCTTCAGCCATGTTGATGTTATGGCTGTAATAATGAATCCCAAAATGACTGGTAGCAAGCTTCCAATATGAAATAAGAAAAAGAAGATGACATGGAGCGATTCTGCGAAACATACTGTCACAATGTAAAGATGCAAATTCAGCTAAATCAAATTAAGATATACGCCTTAAGCATTAAGCACTGT